GCCCGCTGGCTCCTGGGCCGCAGGTGCCGGCTGCAGCTCGCAGCCCCCCGGGTCTGCGGGGTGAAGTGACCCCGCGGGGGCCCCTGTGCGCCTTCTGCTTTCTTTTCTGGGTGCTGGAAACTCCTCTGCCTCCGAGCCGATCTCCCTGTTGCTTTCAGCCCGGCCTTGCGTTTCAGCGGTGCTCTTGTTTCTTCCTTTGCTCCGTTTCCTGCTCGGTCGCTGCCGCTGTCCCTCCGTGCCCGTGCTGGGGGTCGCTCCCTCGCTGTGCCATCGGCTCGGGCCCCTCAGCTGCTCCCCCTCCTCCCGGCCTCCCTCCCGCTCAGGTGGTATTTTATTAAACCGCAGAAAGTTCTCTCTGCCTTTTTACACTGCTCGAGTGCAACATCTCGCCCTGAGTTTCTGGTGGGAGTTGTCAGACGAGAGCGGTATTGGCAGGGGAGGGGGAGAGAAGGAGTTAATCCTGCATTGGTGACTCCGGAGGGACGCGCTCTTCTCTCCGGCTGAAGGATGTGGCGGAGCGAGGCAAGGAGCTTTCTAAAAATAGCTCTACCATTTTTTAGGAAGAGGAGGTGATTAATAAAGATGAGTCAATTCAGGGTGAGCTTTTCTCCCCTTCCCCAAAGCTATAGGTGTGTGTGTGTGCTGTTTGAGGGGGTGTACGCCTTTGGTTCTCCCTTTGTTTCCGGGGAGAAGCGCTCACATTCCCCACGGCACACGGGAATTCAGGGTGGGTGAAGGCTGGAGCAGGAGAAGAAGGGTGTTTTTATAAATTACATAGTCTGATGTATGGTTATGGAGTTCCTTGCAGTGACAGTGGCCCTGAAACTGCTGGGTTTGGCGCGGGGTGGGGGATGTTCTTCTTTTAAACGATAATATTTTGTAGCTTTAATTTATTTTTTTTTTAAAAAAAGGTATAGTGCTTCCGAGATGTTCTTCTTTTAAATGTTACTATTTTGTAGCTTTAATTTTTTTTTAAAAAAAGTTACATCACTAAAGTTTTCATTCAGAAATTCAGCGCTTATTTCAGAAATGGTGAACTTTTCTTTATATGTCTCTTGGGAGTATCTGGGCCATAATCTTGTCGTGGGATACTTGTTATCTGTTCAAAACTGTTAAAGTGTTTGGTGGAAGAAGGAGCAAAGTGGATCCCCGACAGGAAAATATTTTTGAAGTTTTTGTTTTGGTTTGTTGTTTTTTTTTGGTAAAGGACTTTTTGCAAAAGTCCACCTGGGGGGAACAGTGGTTTTTGTTCTGTTATAACTTTCTGTCACTAATCAGACTGAAACTGTTTTCACCTGCCTGTGGAAGCATAACATCTTAAAAGGTGTTATTTAAAAAGAAGGGGTTTTCTGTGGGGGTTTGTTTTTTTTTTCCCCCCCTCCTTTGCAACCTCTTTATATGAGTTTAGTGCTGTTCAGTGTCTTATTTAGTATAACTTTGCAGCAGGTGTTCCTGGAGATCTCTTCTGTGCCACTGGTGCTGCACAACAGCACTGGGGGAATTCATTGTATAAAAAGTAGCATTCTAGCACCCTGTTATTTTGCTTGGATTTCTGCAATCTGTCTCTTCCTTTCTAAGTCTCTTGTCTTTCTTTAGAGGTAACTGGCAGGGCTTAGGGACCTGCTGAGGCAAAACACTTCCATTGTACATGATCAGTGTAACAGGCTGTGGTAAACCTTGTGTCAAGGAAGGCTGATGTGAAAAACCTCCCCTTCTGATTTGTCCGTGCCTTCCTGTTTGCATCTGGTGACATTTGCTGCATTTAGGAAGAAAAAATGTTGACTGAGTTTTGGTTAGGTGGTTTTGTTGGGTTCCTACCCTCCCAATTTGTTAAAACCAGATTAGGCCGGCTGAGATGGTGAGTTCAGCTGAGTTTGTCACTGTGCACAGGCAGCAGAACAGTGTGCAACACTCCACCAGGGCTGCCTGTGCAAACCTGGAGTCTGTGCTCCTGGGATTTGGGCATGCCTGAACCCAGAACCAGGACACTACACCTCTGGATAATGTGAGGGCCTTGTAAAGGTGCTCAGTGTGGCTTTTTATTTCTGCTTAATCCTAAACCAGTAAGAACTGTGATGTATAACTAGGGAGTTATCTTGGGGGGGCAGTGTATTCACTGAACAAACTCTCGTTTGAGGTCATTAATGCCATGTTTCCCTACATTGTGTTTTTCCTGTGTAACAGGATGACTGGAGTCATCCACACTCTGCAGGAGTCTGAGGAGCTGTCAGATCAAACAGGGTTTGTTTTTTTTCTCCAACAGAATGAAAGTGTTTAGAGTAGAAGCAGGCAGACACATAAATGTAGTGACTCTCACCTTTGGAGACCTTCCTGGAGCAGCCTGGTGCTCGGAAGTCATCGGATGGGAGAGAAGGAACTATCTTTAATAGCTGAACAGGTTTCTGTGCCTGGTGCAAGGACTGCTGGTGTGACTGTGGAGGAGCAGCCTCGAGGTGTTGGTTCCTTGATAACAGCTTAAAGCAGCTCCTTTGGCCTCTGGGTATGAACTCCCCAGCAGGAAAGAACCAGCCTGGTCTGTGGTTTCTCTGCTGAGGGGAATTGTGTGCAGATGGGCAGGTTTCATTTTCACTGCTCAACAGCTCCTAGATGAGAGAAAGAGAAGAATTTACTATCAATTTTGGGTTGTTTTTTCTGGTTTTTT